AATGTCGAACGCTCCGGGATCGCTGCCGCCGTCGCCGCTCCTAAAAAGGAACGGACTTGGAGTCTCCATTTGGACAAATCATTGTCCGGCGCTCCCTGACGGCTTGCTCGCCAGCTTCTCACTTTACCAGCTCTTCCTCGATCTTGAAGCAAACGGCGGACCGCGCGATCAGCCGGACCTGGCAGCCAATCGCCTGAACGGCCGCCCCTCCGTTTGCCCTCGCTGATTACAGAGGCAAATTGAGAACAGCGAGGCAGCCACTGAAACGGAGCTGGTGGTGAACGATCGTGATAGCAGGCTGACGAGAGAGGGGGAAATCGATCGTTCGACACTCGACTAAATGTAAAAACAGTCTGATCGCCTTCCATTGAGCTGTCGGTAAGATAGAGGGAGCGTGCGGGATGAGGAGCCGCGGTCAGGGAGCGTTAATACTCCCTAAACACCCCTTCAAGGTCGGGACGGAACGGGGAACCTTCAGAGGGTCGCTGGAGGGGTCGGCAAGACCCGAATTCTGATGTTCAACTTGGCTACGGACAACAGTCGAGCGCCTATCTCCAGGAGCCGAGCAGGACATCTCGAGTTACTCTACTTCACTGCACGGCGAAGCTTTTTCCGTTTATTTCCCGAAAGCTTTCTGCCCTTTCCACGAACGAGGCATGACCCCCTCACCGCAGGAGTCTCAGGCAGAGAGAATCCTGAAGACGAGAGTGTTGCATTTTTTCGAGCGCCCGTCCGGCCTTCCGTCGACGCTGCGAGCGGAGCGGATAAGGCCGATGCTCTCCCTCATAATCGTGTCTGCTTTCTGGATCGTCGGTGCAGTATTCTGCAGGGAAGCGTCCGAATGGTTCCGGGAAAAACGATTCACCTCTGGATCTGGGACGACGAGTTTCGGGGAGGACCTCGCGGCACATTGACTGAGCGCACGCCTGGCGGAATTAAGTGCTGAGGTGAAGCCGAAAGAGCTAAATCGGCTGATTTATCGCCCGATTGATTGATCGATCTGGTACGTGTAACAGTTGTGTGCAGACATCACAGAGCGAAGAAGAATCACTGGAGTGAAACGAAGAAGGTGTTGAGTGACAGTTGTGCCGGCTGGCGACTCCGATGACGAAGCGTGAGCCAAATCGCCAGAAACAAAAGCGGGTGGCGGAAAGAGCGACGAATCTTCTCAATGCTTCGTGAATGGGCCCCGTCAGAGTTCGGGACCCAACTACAACACCGCTTGAAGATCAGAAACCCATCAGCCCAATCGATCGTCGACAATGATCTCTTTCTTCAACAGTCTCGTCTCGAAGTGGGCAATATTCTGACTTTTCGTCGCATATCCTCTTCTGGGTGTTTCCTCCGCTGGATCCCGGCGATTTCGAAAATTCCAGTCCGTACCCATCCTGTTCTCCAGCACCGGGCTCCCACGCCGAAACCAATTGAATATTATCGGCCGCGAGATCAGTCTTGATAACTATCGAGCTCAAGATGACGACGTGGCATGACTCTCCCGCCTTGTCGCGGTTTTCTGCTCGAGAACCGGTACTCCGTTTATAAGAATTATTTTTCTTCTCTGACGATTAGTCAGCAGTTCAGAAGAGTTGATCAAAAAGACGCGGAGGGAAATTTATTGGAAGGAGCGAAAAGGAGAAATGGATTCAAGAGAAACTCGACGCGTGCTGCGGAGATTGCGGTCATGCTTCTGTGACGATGATTATCGGTACATGGTCAATTTAACCTATCCGTCCCATGGGAGCACATCTGATGTGAAAAAGAATCGGGTTCCCCGGATGTTTCCATTTTCGGGGCGTCGGTTGAGGAAAGAGTGGCCTTAGGGCTCCGGGTTCGAGGACCGATCTCCCTACGCTCACAGTGCAGTCCACCTCTTCCCCTTGCTACTTATCAAGATTTTCCCAAAGAACCCTTCTCGAGCCTCTTCATTGGTGTATTCATTATCTTTTCCGAGATTCCGTAGTGAATCGTGCGGTTCCTATTAACTTTATCGTTCCATCCAGCAATTTATCCGCCGGGGGAGATCACAGCACAAGTATCGCCAGTCGCTTCGTTTTTCCTCAATCAATTCGATTCAGAGAAGAAAAATGATCAGCGTTATTTGATCAGCTAATATTCCATTCCTTGTCAGTTTTCGTTCATCGCTCACCTTTACGGTGGCGATCGGGACCTCTGAAAACCGCCCCCAGCATCCCTGAGCTGCTCGCAAACTAGAGGGAGATCATTCGCATCTAAACGTTCTTATGATTCGAATGTTTTGTTGATTTGAACGTTCGCAGGCTCGGCGTCAGCATGAATGGTATCCCAGGCTCGCTGACTCGAGCCGTATCCCTTTCCACCGCTTCCTCGAAGCCGCACATTCGTGGGTCCTCCTTCATCTTCAGACCTGGATCTCCGTTCTCTATCAAGGAGCCTATTTCTGGTTCTTATCCTCTGCACGTTCACGGATCGTTTCTCGCGGGTCCTCGAACGAATTTCTCAAGAAACCCTTAGATGTACAGCGATGATGATCACGACGTGCGGTTGTGCTAACGTCGCGAAAGCTATAGAGTGTCCTCTGTTCGAAATTTTCCTCTGGCGAGATTCAATTGAAAAGTCGAATCTCTCCCCGATCAACGCTCACACGACTTCTTTTCTCGTGCATGATTCTCCGGTTTCATAGCGGACCCCCTCGATGCAGAAATTAAGGGGAACCTCAGAGACCAAGTACCGGTGGACGGTGGCCGTCCAGCGATGGCAAAACTCGTTGGTGTACGGCACGCCAAAATCGGTCGATGGATAGCTGGCGCGCTCGATCGCTTGGTCGCTCGATCGATCGATCCGCGAAATCAGAAGAAGAGATAGACAGTTTAAGACACAGAAGAATCAATTAGCAGACGATAATGGCATCGTTTGAGAATTTGCCGCTCAGTACGTCGGCCGCAAGCGATCGCCCAATGCTCGCCACCCGTCGTTGGTAAATTGTTGTCCCCGTCCATGAATCGCCGACGGTTCCCGAAAACGATGGAGCAGCGTCGATAAGAAGAACTGGTCTCCGTTTTCGTCTCTCTCTATCTTCTCTTCACCCGAGAAACCAAATCTCCAATGTTTCATCGTCGATCCGGTTGTTCGTAAGTGACGAAGTAATTTTTTCGGCGACCGGATTTATTTGTTCTGATCGAGCTCCCGATACGGGTCTCCGGCAGATACGTCGTTGTATCAGTCGAGTTCGATCAAAGAACAAGCCATCCAATGCGCTTCAAGAACGGCGTGGCTGTGGGAAGAGTCGCCCAGAATGATCAAAATGCTCAAACTGATGCTTATTCCAATCTTGTCGAGCGCTTGGAATTTTCCGAGCCGGATTCAGAGCCAGTCGAGATTGAATGGCGTGCGCGTGGCGCCTCTGATGGGGAAGCTGCCGCGTTTGATTTCGCTTCCCCGCTCATTAGTTTCTTCTGCAATTTTCCGCAGCTGAGAGAATTCCATTCGACAGAATCACGATTAGGCGTCTACCGGGCGCCTTCATCCGGATGTCAGCTCAAATGGTCATTCGGTTGATCGGTAAATCAGCCTCCTTCTACGATTCTCATTCACGCCGACTCCGTTCCTTCATCTCTATCGGTGAGAGTCGCTGTGAGAGCTGCGTGCGGAAACGAAACTTTAGCAACATTCGAATAGCACGCTCAATATAAGAATATGACCTGCTCGAGCCCATAAGTCGCTGGAAGCAATCGTGAAAGACCAGCGAAAGCTACTACCAGTCCATGAAAGTTTACGATTCCGCACGAGACCGCTTTAGGTATCTACGATTTCGACCGGAACGTGTTTCCGACAGCGAACCTTATCGTTTAAGCTATGTAGTAGAGTTTTTCCATTCGGAATGGCTTTACTAGTGATAAGTGGCGTTCAAAACGTTTTCGGAGAAGAGATTGCGAAGCGTCATGATGTTTTGAAGCCCACGACGAGTCCGCAACACGGACTAGACCGCGAGCTCGAGACGGAAAAAAAGCCGAAAATTGTGGGGAGCGTGCCGGGGTGGAATCATAATCATTATTTATTTATGGTCTGCTCCGAGGACTGCCGCGACGAAGCTGTTCCCCCACAATCGTATGGACGTCTTTTTCCCCCCACTGAAGAACGGATCCTCACGCGTCTCTGACGTCTGTGTGTTCCGACGTCCCCCCGATAGGGCTCTTCGAAAGAATAAAGTGGACGAAAATTGTCGCAGGCCCATCCAGCCAGAACGTTCAGAGCTCACTGAGCACGGGCGAGAGCAGTAGTCAGGGGAGGGAGCTTGCTGACCGGCGGGGATCGAGCGACCAGCGTGTAATTAGGCAAATCAGGAAGGACTACACTAATCGACAGGAGTCACTGATGCCTTAAGGATGCTGATGAACTAAGGCGCGAGATTTAACTGCTCGTGAAATAGCTAATGACAGCCTTGGGGACGGCAGCCGGTCACTCTCGCGGAAGACTTGCCCACAGGTTGCTCAATTCCCCCCTGAGGGCTGCCCGATACACGCACACATAGGGATGATGCGATGGCGATCTCGTCGGACTCACCCCTAATCTCAACACTTGCTTCAGTACTCAATATATTCGGCTTTCCCCCCGGAACGACCCCAAATGTTCGCGGAATACCCTCGATACGTGCGAATGGTCCTCATCAGGACCCTTTGAGAATCTTGACCGATGCAGGCCTCCCCAACGGGTAGGTACCCCCGCAACACCGACAGTCCATCTGCTCGACCTCGGGCCTCGCTGAGCCCCTCCGTTTTCGCCCCCGATGGGGAGGGAGTGGGACTGGGGCAAGGGCCCTGTCTTTCCCCCAGCTGCGAGCTCCCGCCAAATGAGTGGTCCCAAAACACCTTAGTCGAAATTGCTCCCTACCCGTCGTCGACACGGTCGTCGTGGGCTTCTCCCGTCGCCTGGCGGACTCACAATCACACTCGACGAGATACTCAGGACGAGTTCCGTTCTCGAACGTTAAGAATGAGATCACTTCGAAAACCGATGACGCTCACCTGGGTCTCCGTGACGTTGAGCAGTTTAGCCATTTCGGCGCGCTCACTCGATGAAAGGTACTTCTTGAGTTCGAACTGTTTCTCTAATTCGAATATCTGACGTCCGGTGAATGTTGTTCGTGCTTTTTTCTTGCGCTGCTGTTGAGCCGCCTTCTCTGAAGGACTCTGGTTTTGGGAATTCGGTCCGTTGGTTTGATCCGATGACGAGCAATCCGAATCCACAGCCGGAGACGTCGTCAACGCCAAGGGAGACATCGGAGGGGTATCTCTGCGTTTGAGCTCGATCGAGTTATTGTTGTTGTTGTTCAGGAAAACTGAAAAAAAAGAGAAGATTTTCAAGTCAGATATTCGGCTCGGACATCAGGAATGAAGATCTCGACACAGGGTTCACACTGGAATCAAGAGCAACGCAGCCCTCTGCGCGACACTGGTGGAGAAGCTGGAAACCACGTGGCTAGGCTCCTCTTAGTGAGTGTTCTTGCCAGAAACGAATGCGAAGAGACTTGATGGTCTCAAATATCGAGATGTTCGATCGATTCAAGCCCTTTCTCAGGGAAAGCTCTTGGAACGGATACAGGTGGAGCTTCGAGCCGGAGTGTCAGTCCAGTTCCCCTCTGGTGATACGCTGGGATTGACCGATCGCGATTTGTAACAGCATGAGAAAAGTATTCAGACGTACGACGCGAATATATCTAGCAGAGCACCGGGGCATCTACTCCGGATCGGGAGACAGATTACGGCCGTGAATTCCGCGAGAAGATTCAGGATAGGGCAATCTTACATTCGGGGTGTCTCTCCCTGCCCAAGACCTCTCGAGGGGGAAAGCCGTGAGCTTGTTGCTAGCAGGACTACGGAGGGACGGGTGAGAGTATAAATGTTCGGAGTCTATTGAAAATCCTCCCCCGGACATCGAAGAATTATTACAGTGAGCACGCACAGGCGTCAAGGAGTGTTGCCGCCTGCGCCTCCAAAGCCACCAACAACCTGGTGACAACAGCCACGACCTCCTAGGTCACAATGTGGAGAAAAAACAGGAGAATGACCGAAGGAGGAATGGAGAGCAGTGTTCCCAGGGAAGGAAGACCATTTCAACATTTGTGTCACAACAATAGACCTAGATGGCAATCTTAGCTCTTTCAAAAAGCGCTGAACAGCGACCGGGGTCGGGTTCTGCGCTCTCAACTGTACATATGCTTCAGAGCTCTGCTCCATCCAGATCGCGTCGAGTTGCTCTGATGCGAGCCTTGTTTTCGATATTTTCGACTAGACTAACTCGGACGTTGGGAAATGGGAGTTCAAATTCCCAGGCAGGTTATCTCCGCATTTATTTTTGATCAAAAAGTCTCTCCCGGAGGATGACGAATCGGAACTATTCGGTACAGATCTGTCCGTCACAACGATTGATGCAAACCTCGCGCTGGCCATGCAGAACTCATTCGAGACGGAAAGCCGGAGTGTTGTGAGAAGCGAGCTGCTGCTGCTGCCGTTGTTCTTGTTGTGGTAGTCGTTGTCGTCGTAGTCTAGCTTGTGGTAATACAGGCTTATAAATGATCACAACACCTGTAACGTTCATGTGTAATCGAAAGATAATCGCAAGATAAACTCATTTGGTAGCCGCTTGCCGAGCCCAGCCAGGCGGACGAACTGTCGAGCGAGCTTGCCGGCTGAGCGAAAGAATAAGTCAGCGTTGCCAGAGCGGAGCATGGCATCTCGAGCGCGTTTGTGACCGACTTGATTATTATTCGTCCATGCCACACTCGGCGACGAGGCTACATAGATCCAATTTTACCATGAAGCCATCAGCGGAGAATGGCGACTAGACCCTCCTCGTATTGCTAGAATCGCGATCCTGAGTTTTGACCGGAGATCAATTGCGAAATTCGACCCATGAGCCAGAACGACTTGCTTCAACTGCACAAAAAGACATAATATAGCAGCGGACACGATCTCCCTCGAGCGTCCCTGAGCCTGGCAGAGTCCACTGAAGATTTCCGAACTCATTCGCAACGACCTACCACCAGAAGTATATCCTCCCTTGTGGGCTGATGTTCTCTGAATTTTGACCTCGAGAGCGCTTAAAGCCCGTAGATTAATGACGACTTAATGTCTAGGATGTTCTCTCTCCGGACGGACGCTATTCAGATAAACAGGGTCGATTGCCAAAGTCTTCGTGTGGGTGAGATACGACACTCGGGAAACACTATAGGTGCGCTCACCTGACCAGAATCATGACACACACGAAACATAGCCAGCGAGGCGTTGAAATCGGGGGTCGAACCCGACCCCAAGAGCGTCCATAATACGCGATTCTCGATCCGATTCAAGACCCAGTTCTGCTTCGAGCCCTCGATCCTCAGACTGGGGATCGAAATCACACTTAACGCGCGTCACCTCTCCCCGCATCGCTCAGCACCGGCGCGGCGCTGGCGCAACTCGCCTACCCGTGCCGAAACCCGCCGAATAGTTTCGTTCAGAGGTCACCTACGGGAGAAAGCACCCACAGAACGCGACTAGAAAATTATGTCGCCTCGTTTAATGCGTTGACTAACGACGGAAATGTTACGCACATGTCCGCGCCGCCGCGGAAGGGCAGGTAGGTCCGCCGCGCAGAGTGATCGCTAACGCGCCAAATGTTGTAGATCAATTAGAGGAGACGTCACGCGTCAAAGCATCTCGAGTCTTTTTCTTGGCCATCAAGTTCGCCTTCTAGTACTTGTTCATCTTTCGCCTCCCCACCCCGATCGCCGTGGTGGCTGTGATGATGATGGTCGTCTCCGTGGTCGTCGTCGGTTCCCTGCGCTTGGAGAACAAAGATTCCCAAAACCACGCCTTGGCTTCTTTACCTCGCGTCGTGCGCTGTCGACTGCGAACGAGCGAGCGGGCGGGCGAGTGAATGCACGAGTGGTGGGTTCATTCGTTTCTCCACCCAAACAGTGTTTGTTAAAATCGTCCGCTGCGTGTTGCTCGAATCGGTCTATTTCGGAAGCAAGTGGCCGTGACTAAGGAAGTAAGCATCGGACATTTTTGTACAATTTTCACCTCGAGGCCGTCGCGGTCCGTCCGTTCCTCCGGGTGTTACGGATGTCAGAGGCAGGACATAACCGTCTCTGGGTGCCTGTGATAGAGTGACTGATAGCATCATCCCGCAAAGATGATCTCTGCTTTGAGCGATTATGATTTAACAGGACGACATGTGTGGCCTCTGCAGGTCAGCTCGTCAGACGGGCCCGAGTCCGCATATATCCGGCTGCCCTGCAGATCTGCAGATACGTAAAGCGCTCGCGGTGTGCTCTAGGCCCGTCTCTTCATATAAGCACCGCACAGCCTGAGTAGAAGGTACCTGTTCACCTCGTTTCTTAAATGGTTCCACTCGAGAATAGACTGATCGTCTCGAATGGAAAAAAATCTCGAATCACCCGAATCGCGAAAAATTCGCAGAATTGATCGAGACGGCCTCGAGCTTGACAACTCCTCGCTCTCCGACGAAAGCTGAGATTTCGCAAACCTGACCCGACGGGGATGGCACCGTTGGCGGGAGGAGGATGGATGGGGATCGGTGACCGTTTTGAGTTTATGAGAATTGTTCGTTTCATGATGTTGCTGATGCTCCGCCGCTGCTAGTACAAGCGAGGCCGTGGCCGCCCCCACGGCAGCTCCTGCTCCTCATTGAAAGGAGTACAGCGAACGAGAGCGACTTAGTTTATGGAGGGGCATAAATCATGCGAGCATTAGAGTGCTTTATTACTCTTTAGGCCGCAGTCAGCTTCACTCACTCACACACTCATTCAGTCAGTCACTCGGTCGGTCATTCATCCAGAGCTCCGCTTGCGGCTCGTGGTCATGGTGACTCATCATCTCCGTCGTCGGCCTACAGCATTTTATAGTTTATAGTCTCTAGGATCCGTCCATACAGTCGAATCTTCGTCAGTCAGCCAGTCCGTTCCTCCATTGTCTGCACAGGACCCCCACTCACATCTGATTTTATGTAGGAAAGCCACAAACATCGTTTCGATGAGAGAAACCAGCCTCGGATACATTAAAGTCACACAAGCTCCGAGGAGCTTATAAACGAATTTTTTTCTCTTCCGCCTGTTCACCTCGGACTGACATTGGGCGCCTCGCATGTCCGTCCGCAAGCGGGTCGGACTCCCCGGGCTTTTCGTCTACCGGAGTCGATTGCTGTCTCGCTCATTTCACGGAATGACCGACTGCATGAGATCCCTCCGACACATCATAATAATCATCATCATAACTTGATCCACCAGCCCGAAATCTATCCGCCTAGACGGCCAAGCCCCCCCCCCCCGGCCACTGGATCTCCGCCGGAAAACTCGAACAGGCGAACACCGACGCGGTAAACACATCGTCCCTCGAGTCACGGGGGACAACAAGAAAGATCGCGCATCAGATGTCAGACATCGCCAACGGAGCCAGAGAGCGACTCGGGGCGTTCCAACATGTTTGTCCACTGCGACGGCGGCTGATGGTGCCGCTTGAAGCGGCTTTTCTGTTACTTCGCCCCGGGAGTTCGCTCCACCGTCGATGCCCACCCTCTACAGGGTCTTACTGTATCGATGACTTCCGTGTTGGCGTGTCAGAGGCAGACAGATGCCGCTCAAACCACGCCCCCTCCGAGTAAATACCAAGAGCCCAACAAGCAAGAAGTCGTCATGCAGCGAGCATCATCCAGAGCTACTCGCCGAGGGGTTGTGAATGCATGAATGAGTAAACGGGAAGAAGGAGCGAGCAGTGTGCAACTCGCGTGCCGCATTTCACATCAGACCGAAGACATCAAAAGTCTTCGGTCCAGGGAAAATCCAGTGCGGCAAGAAGTTTCACCCCTTCGCCGAAATAATCACTCCGATTTTAGGAAATCCTCGAGCCACCCCGAAGTTATCTTGAAAATTAGAACAATGTCTCCACAGTCCAGGTCGTCCAGTCCAGGAGCAGGTCCCGACATGAGGGGAAAACCGTGGAGAAACGCATTATTCGACATGTATCGGGCTACGAGTGCGCTCTTCTCCTACTTCTCCTGTGCCAAGGCTGTATCTTATCCCACTCCGAGTTCTGTCTTCGTCGCAGTCAGGGACAATCGCAATTCTTCGCTCCCTTCACAGCGGCTGACAGGCAAGAGCTTTATATTCTCTCAGGCAAGTCGATCCATCGGGGGGCTGCCCGAACGGCAGGTCGGTCTCAGAGCGAGCGTAATGTACCTAAGTTTCAACTGGAGTGACCTCAGTTGTCCACTGGATGCT